GGGGGGGTACGTTTATTCCGGGGGGTATGTTTATTCGGCAGATGAGAGTACATAATCCTTTATTTCCTCTTGTTTATTTTTACCGGTCACTTGTTTCGTAACTAACATACATGTACACATGTATGTATGCACAACTCTAAGAATCCGATCATTATTGGGCATAGCCGTACAAAAGAAGACGTATTTGTTCTTCTTGCTCACCCTATCTTGCTCACCCTGACCAAGGAACCTCCTTGCCCTCTGACTTATGACCTAGGTTCATGTGGGGGTCATGCATATGTAAATCAGGACTAGTTAATCATTGACAGAGTTGACCTACATGTGTACTACGTACATTGTAGGTGTAGTAACTTTAAGTCCTGACTATTGAGACAGAAAATCAAATGTCTGATGATTGACTCAGCACTGGGGTCTGCAGAACTGAAGGTGTGTACTGCATGTATACATAGGAATGTTTAAATCTAAGAGCTTGTATGTTAGACAACTTACATATAGTTAAACCTTCATTGTTGCCACTGACATGTACATGTATTTTGTACGTAGTTAGACACATACACATATATTCTGTAAGTAGGATGACTTTATTCATACATACATCTTTGTAGAAGACCATACAAAAGTCCCTGTACTTAATGTTGGGTCAATAAAGTCTTAAACAAACTAAGTTCAAGAATCTATTGTATTGTATTTGAACATACTAGTACATTGTAGTAAGATTTCTTGCACGCTGCGTACAGTTGTAAACTGCTATTCATAGTGATTTATGAAGACTTTACACTACTAGTAAATTATATTCGATTCTTATGAGTATCATACACATTTGTGTCAGTTTTCCAGTTATGAGTTATGAGAAGGCCACCTGGGAGTATAAGGGGGTTTGTTTCCCTCTGGATATCACCAAGGAAACCCTGGAGGCCATGCCAGGCTTCCAGATTCGAGATGACGACATTGTTGTGGCAAGTTATATCAAGACAGGTATGCTTTTTTTGGGTAGATATGCTGATATTAGGGAATAATGTAGCTCAGAAAAGTTAAAGACAAATAAATTTCTAGCTTTTACATCTAGGTACAATGTATTATAATATATCTTATCTAGATTGAAGTTGTCTCCAAATTTATTATGTTTACTGAAGTAAAACATATTGTTTTTGCTACGTTTCTTCTTCTTCTTCTCCAAACAGTGACCTCTGACCTTACTGAACCAAACTGTCTCACCATGGTAACTGCTGTTGGGTTACATAATGTTGCAATTTTATAGTAGGAGGGATTTAGACTCCTGTCACCATATACTGTATGTGAATGTGTTTGAGTAAGAGTTAACAGAGCAGACCATATGCGAAGGTAAACATTATGGTGACAAGAGTCTAAATCCCTCCTGCTATAAAATTGCAACATTATGTAACCCAACACCTGAAGTACAGTTACCATGGTGAGAGACAGTCTGATTCAGTCCGGTCAGAGGTAATGAACTTTGGAGAAGAAGAAGAAGAAAAATAGCAAAAACAATATGTTTTTTACTAAACCATCCATTTGTCTTTCCAAGGCTCCAACTGGCTTACAACGATCGTCCTTAAGATCTTAGGATCCGCGGGGAAATTAAAGGCCAGTGCGGACAGCATGGACGTCGGTCCCATCGAAATCACGATACCTTTCGCCAAACAGCCAGGGTACATCACAGTAGCAGACATGCCCTCCCCTCGTTTCATGAAAACACACCTGCCCATTCAGTTTGCACCAAAGGGGATATCCAAGCCGCAGAATAAGGTACTGACGTACTGTAATCCTAAAGCAGGGCTCTAGGCTCTAGCTATAGCCAGCACCTGATTTTCCTTAGATTACAAGAATTTTACAGCCAGCGACGGAATTTTTTTTACTGAATTTGTCAATCTTGATGGACGAAATCGACAAAAACCTTGGGTCAAAATAATAACAAAGTTAGACATCCAAAGGCTGACAAGTGACAACCACTCTCAACCCCATGATTTGTCTCTCAAAATGCAGGAGGTTACGTTACGGAACATGCCCGTAGCCAGGGGGGGTTCGGGGGTTCGGAAGAACCCCTCCACAAGGCTCAAAGGTCCACTTTTTGGTCCACTTTTTATGTAAAGGTCCACTTTTTGGTCCACTTTTTATGTAAAGGTCCACTTTTTGGTCCACTTTTTATGTAAAGGTCCAAGAGTTTTCTTGAAAAGATGGACTGGAATCGTAGAAAAACTGCTCCCTTTGTCATTGAATAGAAACTTATCTCCGATTTTTTTTTTTAAATCCTCTCAAAAACGCACGAAATGCCATTTTAGAAGGTTCATTTTTCAAAATTTTCTGGGGGAGCATGCCCCCGGACCCCCCTAGGAACCTCGCGCCTTCGGCGCTCGCCTTGCGCCTACGGCGCTCGAGGTCCCCTCAAGCAGTCGGAAGAACCCCCCCATTCAAAATCCTGGCTACAGGCATGCGGAAGGCTTGAAAACCTAAAATTTTGGAGCATGCATTGCCAGGTCACCACCTACCCCCTAGATGCCCCCAGATGCAATCATGAACCTGAGAATGAGTGAGATGACAGCAAAAATTTGGAGCTGGCTAGAGCCCTTGCCTAAAGCACCTAACTCTTACTGTTTGTTCTTGCTTCATTCAATTTTTCGAACTCGTTTTCAGCTGATGCCATGATCAGAGAAGCTGTCATTTACATTGTACATGTATCATATACATTGTAAAAGCCTCTCTTATCTAAACATATTGCTTGCAGAAGGGCATTCCAAGCTATAGCTTTTTGACTTTTCCTTCTGTTTAGGTGAAAGTGCTGGTGCCTATGAGGAACCCAAAAGACACGGCTGTGTCGATGTACCACTATGTCCATATAATATGGCAGTTGATCGGTTATACTGTCAACATTCCCTGGGAAGAGTTTGCTCAGAATTTCATAGAGGGAAAAGGTCAGTCCAAAGTTATATTACATGTACCTCCCTAGGTCTACTACATGTATAGTGTAGATGGATTTGGACTTAGTTAAGTACTGTGTCCTTCCAATGACTTTCCCAAGTTAAAGGTTACTAAGGCCTCGTTCATGATTGAAATGTGTTCCGGTTTGGCCACGATCCGAATCGAAACGGAATATATTTTTGCGTCCGTGATTCAAAACGTGCACCCACACTGGAAACGGTTTCACACCTCGAATTGACTTGCATTTCATATGTATATCACAATTTCTTTTAATATTTCCTGGGAACCCGGCTCGTAAGGCGGAGAGTTTACGCCTGTCCGGCCGAGTGGTCGCTTGTTCCCGACTCATGTCCTCCCCATAGGCTGTGCCCCGGACGCATCTGGCGCAAACCCCCACGGTCCGCCGCCCCAACGGCCCTATTGGGCTACCACTCGCCCTCACGCCTAGGCCGGTAGGTGCTAGTACACACCATCCAGTTTCCTCTGGATCTCCTGATTTCCCCAAGTCAATATCGGAAGTCCCGTTTCCTCAGTCAATTTCCTCAGTAATTAGAACTGGATGTCAAGATTGTACGATTCAAGTAGAATTTTTCTCAGTGCAAGCCACTGCGCCCCAAACTGGTCCGACCGTGGCCCCCCCGTACCCGGGTGTACAGCGTCGAACCGGAACGATTCGCATCCGTGCGTTCATGATTACAATTCTACGAACGCGAATCGTTGTGTATCGTTTCAGACCACCTCACGAGGTGGTTCAGAATAAATCGCAACGGAACCTGTTTGGAGCGTTCATGTTCCCAAATGAATCGATTTATTTTTTTAAATCGCATTGATTCGCAACAGATATCCAATCATGAACGGGGCCTTAAACGCAAAGGCACATACTGGCACTGTACATTAAGTGACTTCATATGAACAGTTTTTAAAATCTAGCCCACAGTTGCTTGAATAGCCATTTTTTGCGCAAACCCTTTTATATGTACAGTCAAACCTGTACTAGCGGTCACCTTTGTATAGTGGTCACTCGGCCATAGCGGTCAGTTTTTGCCGGTCCCTTGAATTTTTCCCATTGACGTAAGCATTAAGAATCGTGTCTATAGCGGTCACTGTTCAACGCGGTCAGCGGTCACCCCATTCCGGTCCCGCCGGCATGTCAACACCGCCGATATGTAAAAGTACAATTGTCTTGTGTGTGTGTAAAATAAATGTTTGCATAATAATACCTTTAGTTATCTTTATCATCATACCAGTATGACATTGTATATAATATGACTTGTAGTTTAAAAAATTGTACATTTCTTTTTATACAATTCTGATGGTTTATCTATAATATGATTATGATTTCAATATTCCTTATCGACCATATGTTAGTGCCTTGGGGAGACTACTGTGACCACTTGTTGGGCTGGTGGCAGATGCGTGATGACCCCCACTTCCTCTTCATCAAGTATGAGGACATGAAGAAGGTTAGTTACATGTACATAGTACAGGCTGAAGTGAAGCAACCCCTGGCCAACATACTAGTACAACACATACATTTTCTAAGAGTAATGCATATGGGAGAAGATGGGCCTCGATTACAGCCAAATTCTCACAGACAGACTGTTTCTTTATGTCATGTAGTTGCTATCATGTATGGAAGAAACTGAACAGACTCTCCATCTTGTAGCATGTCATGTTTCATGTTCAGAGAATCACTAAGTACATAAGGCCACACCAATTTAATTTGTTTTTCTCAGATTTTTTCAGAAAAAATATGAAGCGACAGGGCGAAAGAAAAAAAACAGGCCAAGGCACCCCATGATAGCCGGAAATGTTCCAATATTTTTTTTTTTGTAAGGCCACACCAATTTAATTTGTTGGTTCTCGGATTTTCTCATGAAAAATGTAAAGCGACAGGGCGAAAAAAAAAAACAAAAAAAAACATGCCCATGCTAGTATACATGCTAAAACATTGCTGTTTTATAGCCTATAGCTATGCAGGGTTCTCACCAGGATTTTTTTCACAGCATAGGGGGACCTACTGCAGCGAGGCCACACGGCAGGCACGGCGTGGGCACAATGTGTATTATGGTATTCATAATTTCAGCAAGGAAATCTTTTATTTCCTAATAAATAAAATTATTAGGCAATTTTATGTCAAGTGATATGTTAGACAATATTGGACAGTATTTACTGCTAATGAAACTTGACAATGTTGAACTATTTCTTACAATTTTCAACTTATACAAGTGTAAGTCAGAAGTAGTTACAATGATTAAAGCTCATGTACATAATAAAGGATTCATTCAACTAAACACCTCCTTTACTATACAGAGTAGAAAACATAAAAGGGACCATCATCAAGACAAAAAAATGGCTTCATAATTTTGGTAAGACAAATTTCGACACAATGTCTTACCTTTAAAGAAACTTTTCTATCCTATTTTAAAGTTAAGCTATATAAAAACAATCTAGCACAGTGTTAATCATGTGACCCGTGAAGAAAATTCGGGTCAAGTTTGTCAAAGTCAGATTTCCTGAGGGTAGAAAATTAGTCACACATTGTCAAACCTCTTTGGCCAATGTGCGCCTCGGCCACGAGGGAGAATCTCATTTCAAATACCAGCTTTGCCAACAATGTCACCTTTGAGGCTGTTTAGAATATTGTTTCCTCTATTTTCCCGTCAAAAATTAGCCAAATTAGTCAGATTGCAGTTCAGAATCCCCCAAACAATAAGCCTATTCTGGGAACATTTTGAAACGCCCACTTAGCTCACTTGTACGTAAGATACCTCGTCACCTGACCTCGCTTATGATATAAGGATATCAAGTCTCGCGAGAGTTGGGCCGAGAGTTTAAAATGAACAAAGATGGCGGATCGGATTAGAAAGACGCCAGCGGCCCGATGTTTCATCAAGAAAATAAGCTATTTACCGCTTTCTTTGCCACGATAACGGTATCTGGGGACTTTTAATAGGTTTTCTTACAAATGGACACGCTTTTCACTGGCACTAATATTGTATTTTGACCAGGAAAACTGGTGCCAGCCACGCAATACTGGGGAGTCCCCAAACACACGTTCCCGACGTCCGGGCTTTGGGTAGAATTAATTTTTTTTTTTTTCATTTTGCGATTTTTTGAAGCGGCGATTCCGAGAACCAACAAATTAAATTGGTGTGGCCTAAATCAGAAAAAAAATGGACAGGGCGAATCCGAGAAACAACAAATCAAATTGGTATGGCCTAAATACGTAAGTTACAGTTTTTGCCAATTATAATTTGTAGCACTTCAAGACTAAAGTTTTATATACATTTCAAGGACCTGCTAAATTCTGTCAAGACCGTTGCGGCCTTTCTGGAGGTTGACCTGGATGAAACGACAATGAAAGACATCGCAGAGGCCTGTACTTTTGACAACATGAAGACAGAACTGGCCAACTCGGACAGACCTGACAAAAGGACAATAGCTAGGAAAGGTACTAAGTACTAGTATTGTCTTTGTGATAACTGTCATAAAAAAATTTTAACAACCTTACATAAGAGTCCATAAAAAAACTAATGGACATTTCCTTTTGACCTCCTATCATTCTGCCTGCAAATCTTTCCCATCCACGTGCTCTCAACCTACTGCCCAGACAAACAGGCACACAAACAAAACCACAGTTCGGTCACAACCGACAACCTGTCGTGTGGGGGGGGTCGTGTGGCGTAGCGGTAGCATCTTTGGCCCAGACTCGAGGGGGCGAGAGTTCGAATCCTGTCCGATGTCACCGATCTTGAATGTGCCCTTGGGAAAGGCACGTTACACGACTTCCTCACTTCACTCAGGTGGAAATGAGTTAGCTTCCCTAGCTTCGGTTAGGGATGTCCCTCGGATAGGATGTTAAATGGAGGTCCGTGTTTGGGAGAGCCACACCCCACACACGTTAAAGAACCCACCGCACTTATCGAAAAGATTAGGAGTCCTTCCCGGTGTGAGTGGTTCAAACCTTACTGTCCGGTCTCTGGTTTGACATCTTTCAAGAGGTGATAGTCACCTCTTATGTCAATCCTTCTGCAAATGTGGTAAATCGTCATAAAATTAAAAGAAAAAGAAAAAAAAACTAAAACTATACAAAAAAGTAATGTTAAACTTTCATCCTCATATTGAGTCATAAGTAAAAAGGAAGAAACTTTTTTCCTCAAGTTCAATTAACAATACTGATAGGTATTTTGCTTCCCTTACAGGTATTGTTGGAGACTGGAAGAACATGTTTTCACCGGAGCAGTGTCAAGCCTTTGATGCCTGGTATGAGAAGAAACTTGGAGGGACAGGCATCAGCTTTGACTTTGAATAAACAATATTATTCTAGGACTGGTGATCTAATTATTAGAGTGTGTTTGTTTCAAATTAATTCAGAGTCATATTATTACCCAGGGCACAAAATTCTGCAACAGTAAAAGTGTACTTGGGCTAAATTATTTTATTCAACCTTCTCCTGTTGGTAATACGTGTTTTTTTGTACAACCTGGAAATATGAAACTGTCATCAAAATATGTACATCAAATTGTATTTCTTCAAATATAAATCTGTGCACTAAACTAAATGTACCTTCTGTAGTATATATATAACGCCACGTCTTCATTTTTTCGGATTTGCAAATAAAAATAAAAATTCAGAATCAACTGCAAAATGCTCATATTTTGCCCTGAACAGTTGAAAACAGTCCTTTTCATCCTAGTTGTTACAGTTATTCCATCTTTCAATGCAATGGTGTCATTAAAAGTTCAAAATTCACTGTTTAAATTTTGAACGAGCCTAGTGTGTTGACTTCATGGCTCCTATCGTACCATTTTGGGCCATAATAAGATGCCTAGGCCTGTTTTTATTTTCATTTTTTTTTCGCCCGCCCGCTCCATTATTTTTCTAGAAAAATCCGTTAACCAAGAAATTAAATTGGTGTGGCCTAAGAAGTATTTGTAAACACAAATTTGTCCATTCCATGCATGACATTAATGGTACAATGTAATATGCAACACGACATAGATGAACCACGAATAAAGACATTTCTTAACAAAACTACAAATTCAGTTTGTTATGTCATTTGTATATCAATTTATCATACAATATCTTGTATTAAGCTGTACATACATGCACTGTTTCCATGTAAGGCCACAGCAAGTAATTTTTACGGATGACATCAGCGTGTGCATTAATTTTCACCTGATTTTGGAAGAAAAAAAAGAAGAAATTTTGTTGCCCTCTGACAGTGGTCAACATGCCAAAAATGGGCAAAGATGTCTGTTGCCATGCCGGAATGTGGATGGCAGATAAATGTGAAAAGAGGAGACACTTGACAAATAAAGACTCTGATTTATTGTTTTGTCTTTTAGTTTGATGCATAGATGTATTTCATTACTTTTATACTAGTATGTGATGTTCCTACCGAATCAATCCATTTGTACAATGGTTGAAAACTTTTATTTTTCAAAGTTGTTTCAGTGACAAATGGATGCTGGAATAGCTGGCAGTAAACTTCTCACAATATAGACATCATTTCTTGTTTAACAAGGTTTTATATGATGTCTGATATGTTTAAAGTTAAAACTTTTGATCCAACACAAAAATTCTCTCACCTAGAGCTTTCAACCAGTCACTCTGGTCTTCCTCAGTAGACATTCTTCTCAACACATTCACATAGAGTCACCCGGACACCATGTCTCACTTGACACTGTAAGGATTTTAGACACTGAACAAGACTATTTCTTGAGAGGGGTGAAGGAAGCCATTTACATCAGGGCCCATCACCCTACATTGAACCGCGACGGGGGCCGACATCGTCTACCAGATACCTTTGACCCAGTGTTGACGTCACACTTCAAAGAAGCCACGTGACAAGCCTCACTGGGTCAGTCTACTGAGGAAGACCAGAGTGACTGGTTGAAAGCTCTAGGTGAGAGAATTTTTGTGTTGGATCAAAAGTTTTAACTTTAAACATGTAACTACCAACACAGATGAACTTTCATGATAGTATGATGTCTGATATATGATGTTTTATATGATACAGATACAGATATATGATTATGATGTCAAAATTTGAAAATGTAGGTATTTTTTTGCCCGCCTTGTTTTAATTCGCCCGCTCGCATTAGATTTGGAGTCTGGGGAGGATGTCATCCATAAAATTTACTTGCTGTGGCCTAATGATAATGATAACACCTGTCCACATATCAAATACCAAACAGATCCATCCACAAAGTTATACTAGCCACAAACCCACAAGAAGATGTACAAAATGTACACCCACTCACAAACACAGCCTTTCAAACAGAAATGTCAGAATAGTACCGTACACCTTCCCTTCTATTTTTTGATTGTAGAATTGGAATTTTCTTCATAACAAAAACATACTTCGGTTCCTATGACCATGGAGATCATGATTTTCTACCTCCTTGCTACAACTAAGTCTTGCTTGCCAGTGCTAATAGCAGTGATTACTGCCCCCAAACCACCCACCCACAGCTGTAAAGACAAGTAAATTTGTTAGAGACCAAACCCCTATGCACACCCAGAAAGGGTACGTAGCCCATCAAGGTAACCCTAGCCCTAGCCTAGCCCATCTTTTCCAGATACCCTTTTCGAAAAATCGTGCAGACGAGGAAGGTATTCGCGCAGACGTGGAAGGTATTCGTGCAGACGTGGAAGGTACATGTATTCATGCAGATGTGGAAGGTATTCGCGCAGACGTGGAAGGTATTCGCGCAGACATGCAGGACTGTACTTACGGGCCTTCGTAATTTTTTGCCTGTTAACATACTTGGGTAGTGTCCCACTGGGTCATAACAAAATGTTGACTTATGACCTTGGTTGACCTGCGGGTTCATGCATATGTAAATCAGGTGGAAAGCAAATGACCTTGACCAAAGTTGGCTTAAACTGAGTCCAGACTTGTGAGACAGAAAACCATATGGTCTGCAGAACTGAAGGTGGGTACCAATTGGGATCAGCACTACATGTATACATAGTGATATCTAAACAACTTCTAATGACATTGCTATAACATGGGAAGCAGAAGGCGACCTAAAGTAAAGTCACTCAATGCAGAACAGTACAAAACGATGGGGACAAACTTGTACTGCCGGTAAAGTCATCACTTGAGTCTTGAGGAAACTTGGCAGTAGCAGCACAAAACTGCAACCTTTGGAGAGGAAAAGCCACCGAGTTGACCCCTAATGCAAGTTGCGGGAGGATCTAAAGACTCTAAGGTCTAATTCTACTGAAGACTTTAACAGTGGATTCTTATGACTATTATGCATATTTCCAGTTATGAGTTATGAGAAGGTCACCTGGGAGTACAAGGGGGTTCGTTTCCCTTTGGATGTCACTAAGGAAACCCTGGAGGCCATGCCGGGCTTCCAGATTCGAGATGACGACATTGTTGTGGCAAGTTATATCAAGACAGGTATGCAATTATATTCAACAGTTACTGGATATGCTGATACATGTAGTAGGAAGTCAGATGTGCATGTATCTCAAAGACAAACTAGAGAAGTAACATTTGCAAAGCATGCGCAAATGCATAATGTTTACCTTCGGACATGGTCTGTTCTGTTCATTCTTACTCAGACACATTCACATACATGTACTAACTAGTATATGGTGACAAGAGCAGAGCAGACCATGAAATTGCAACATTATGTAACCCAACACCAGTCACCATGGTGACAGACGTCAACAAATCATGTCATTGGTCAGGTCAGAGGTCACTTTGGAGAAGAAGAAGAAGAGGAAGAAACTGAGGAAAAACAATGTTTTCCTTCAGTAAATATAACAAATCTCTAGCTTATACATTTAGGTATATAATCTTATCTAGATTGAAGCTGTCTCCAAATTTATATAGATAATATTTATCCGAAAATTAGTTGCAAGCTTATCTGAGTCTGACAGGGGCAGTTAAAGTAATGTCATTGAAGAGTTTCAGGACCCATACATGTGTTCCTTTGCCTGAATATTGTTCTCTTCAATTATGTAAATTATGACTTAATTTGCATAAGCTATCTCTAATGATGATCATGTTATTTTGATCTTTACTGACATAGTAATTTAAATTTAACCAACAAATCAGTTCACAGATTTTAGTACAAACGTTCTTCAACTACATGTACACATGTACATGTACACCATGTATCTCTACTTGTCTTTCCAAGGGTCCAACTGGCTTACGACGATCGTCCTTAAGATCTTAGGATCCGCGGGGAAATTAACGGCTAGTGCGGACAGCATGGACATTGGCCCTATCGAAATCAGGGTACCTTCTGCCACACAGCCTGGGTACATCACAGTAGCAGACATGCCCTCCCCTCGTTTCATGAAAACACACCTGCCCATTCAGTTTGCACCAAAGGGGATATCCAAGCCACAGAAAAGGGTAAGTCCAGTTTTGGAATATGCATGTCAAGTGTGGCAACCAGGGCTTACAGTTGCCGAATCTCAACTGTGCCGGAACTACGCTCAGTCCCTGTTGAAATCTCTGATCTACTGCAAAATGCTCATATTTTGCCCTGAACAGTTGAAAACAGTCTTTTTCTTCATAGTTGTTACAGTTATTCCATCTTTCAATGCAGTGGTATCATTAAAAGTTCAAAATTCATTGTTGCTTGGTATGTTGACTTCATGGCTCCTATCGTACCATTTTGGGCCATAATACTTTTTTAATAGGATGCCTAGCATAGGCCTGTTTTTATTTTTTATTTTTTTCGCCCGCCCGCTCCATTATTTTTCTTCAAAAATCCGTTAACCAAGAAATCAAATTGGTGTGGCCTTATGTATATTGTAGGGTAAGTCTGAATTTATAATTAATTATTCTTGATTAAAGCTTTTAAATTGTAAGAAGCCGACAATTCAGCCATTTAGGCTGCCATAGACATTTAATGGTATATGTTTATGTGAATAAACCGGTCATTATCAAGCCTATTTATATTTAGCACCTGAACTTTCTGAGTGAGTGAAAGTTTCACTGTTTGTTTCTGCCTCTTTCTTTTCTTGAGAACTCGTTTTCAGCTGATGTCATGATCAGAGAAGCATTTCCAAACCTCTTTTATCTGTGCATTTGCTTGCAGAGGGATGTTTCTAACTTTTCCTTTCATTTCAACACAACAGGTGAAAGTGCTGGTGCCTATGAGGAACCCAAAAGACACGGCTGTTTCCTTGTACCACTATGTCCATATCATATGGAAGTTGAGGGGATATACTGTAACCATTCCCTGGGAAGAGTTTGCTCAGAATTTCATAGAGGGAAAAGGTCAGTCCTAAAGTTTTATGTAATCCAAATTAAATCCTCAGAAGTATTATTTATACCTACGTGAAATCACCCAATTTTTTTCTGTTAATGCACCAGAGCACCCAAATATTTTTGTAGCTTTACGTATGTATCTATGTAATAATGTCAAATGTATAGTAGTATACAACATATTCTTAACACTTCTATAAGTTCTAAGAGTCAGCAAAATGATAAAATCACGTCTACAATAGTACTTTTTTATCATAATTAGCTTTTGATGAAATTCTACTTCTATTTTATATGGTGCACCCAAAAAGTTTTTTATGCACCCGATTGGGTGCACCAGTGCACATATTGCCAAAATGAATTTTGAGCCCCGATATGTAATAAAAAAAAAAATTATCACTTATCAATGTAGGGGGTTGGGGAGACTACTGTGACCACTTGTTGGGCTGGTGGCAGATGCGTGATGACCCCCACTTCCTCTTCATCAAGTATGAGGACATGAAGAAGGTTAGTACTAGTGATGCATACCGGTTCACTGGACTTGGATCCGGACTTGTAAGAATGTTTAGGTTCAAGTCCAAAAAAACCTAAAAGTCAAGAACTGAGTCCGGACTTATTACCATAAAAGACCATTTCACATACCCCTTTTCTTTCCAAACCACCTAAAACCTTCTGTAGATTGCAAAATCTTTGCTGCAAAATGAAGAAAACATTGCCATCAGGCATCCTCAAGTACCGGCGTCCATGTTACGTGGCCACAGTTTTGCCCAGACAACATTGCAAGGGTGCCAACATGCGATTTTGTATATGTCATGGGTTTAGGTCCAGACTTACAAGTCCGGAACTGAACCTAGACCTCTGGACTTGAATACAGTATATACTGTATGTACATATCAAGCATTTTTCAAATACCTGATGCTATATGTACATGTACAAGTATGTAGTTATGACTTTCTGCCGTGTTGTAATGCCATGTCAATGTTGTCTGGAGGCAGACAAGGCTTTAAATTTTACAGCAATTTTTCCACGGACCAATTAGTTTCAAAAGTCCTAGTAACGTTTAGTACCATACAGGTAGTGTCTATATATATTTTATATTCATTATTATATTGTTTCATAGTTACTGCCTAGGGTACTTATTACAGTTTTGGCCAATTATAATTTATAGCACTTCAAGACTATTAAAAGACAACTGTTTCATATACATTGCAAGGACCTGCTAAGTGCTGTTAAGACCGTTGCGGCCTTTCTGGAGGTTGACCTGGATGAAACGACAATGAAAGACATCGCAGAGGCCTGTACTTTTGACAACATGAAGGCAGAACTGGCCAACTCGGACAGACCTGATAAGAGGACAATAGCTAGGAAAGGTACCGGTACTACATCTGTACTTCATGTCTGGGATAACTGACATAAAGATTTTGAACAATGTTTTTAATAATTACATAACATATATATTTAAGAGTCCATATAAACTAATGGTCATTCCTGCTAGTAACAGGAATGACCCTTAGTTTATTTAGAATACATCCAAGCAAGTACAAGTATGGTGCATGGTTTGTCCATTCAAGTGAAGAATAAATTATTGTCAATCTATTCATTAATGTTGACAAATAGTAGTTTTTAATAGACAACTTTCATGATTATTAACATTATATTTATGGGTTCACCACACCACGAAGTGGTGGTGAACCCATATTGCTTTTTCTGATGTTTCTTCTCCTCCTTCTCCTTCTCCTTCTCCTTCTTCTCCTGCCATTTTTTAAATGGATTCAGCTTCTTCATTTTAGGGCCCAAGGTCCTGAAATTTGGTATGGAGGTACAGTGGGCAAATACCCCTAGGCGTTTTTTAAATTATTGTGATACAGGCTTTTAGAATGGTTTTATTTGAGTTTTTTGGCTGTGTTATAGCAAATGTATTACTGTGTTAGTGTGCCTTGTTTACCACGTTTGGGCATGAGTCATCACAATGGAATGCAGGGCATCAACCAATAGGCATGCAGCTTTCCTCTATACTTCTTGCTGATTGGCTGTTGGGATTTAACTTGATTAACACCTGCACAGAGCATTTCCACCTGCACAGAGCATTTCTTGCTGATTGGCTGTTGGGATTTAACTTGATTAACACCTGCACAGAGCATTTCCATACTGACAGTATGTCTTTATTCAAGTGTTTTGGTAGGTATTTCAAGCTTTCCTGCTCCAGCATTGGAATGCGGGGCATGAACGTTTTTTTTTTTTTTAAATCAACAGTTTGCATTATGCAATTAAAAATCCTAACCAATAAAGTAGGGAATAGCTATCCAACTGTTGTTTTAGTTGTATGTTACTTCATATTATAGTTATATCAATGTAAATCATTGTTTTCCCTTGTGTTTCTCATTCTTTCCCTGCCATGTCGTAAAATGTGGTGAACCCATCGCTATATTTGCTCCAAAGCAAATATTGGCCTTTCTAGTTATGTACATGTAACATCAACATCAAATACCAACAAAACCAAGAAGTCAAAAATTTCAGACTTGCAAATTAAGTCTGACCTTTTGACCTCCTGTCTTCAGTTTCTGCCTGTAAATCTCCCACCCATGTGCTGTCAACCTACTGCCCATACAAACAGGCACACAAAACCACAGCACAATCACAAACTATACTTCAGAGTTCTATACTCATAAAGACTAAAAAGGAAGAAAGTATTTCATCAAGTTTCATTTAAAAAATACCAACAGGTATTTTTGCTTTTGCTGCCCTGCTTACAGGTATTGTTGGAGACTGGAAGAACATGTTTTCACCAGAGCAGAGTCAAGCCTTTGATGCCTGGTATGAGAAGAAACTTGGAGGGACAGGCATCAGCTTTGACTTCGAATAAACATGCATTTCTATACAAATAATGGAAATTTGTACTCAAGACTTGGCATGTCAGTAAAGTACAAATAAATAATGTACTGTGCATGATGCACATTGTACATCAAATGCCACATCTCATCACGTCTATGGCATCAATTGAGCGTGTGTGTTTGCATGTGTGTGTGTGTGCATGGGGTCATGTGGCGCAGCGGTAGCGCTTTTGGCTCAGGACCTAGAGGTCCTGGTTTCGATCCCCACCCATGTCACCGATCTTGTGCCCTTGGGAAAGGCACTTTACACGACTTTCCTCACTTCACTCAGAAGTGTAAATGAGTACCTAGCCTCGGTTAGGGACGTCCCTCGGATAGGACGTTAAATGGAGGTCCCGTGTTTGGGGAGAGCCATACCCCGCGCACGTAAAAGAACCCACCACACCTTTCGAAAAAGAGTATGGGCATGCCCCGGTGTGCGATGGTACAAAAACTATCACTCGATTCACTGTCTGGGAGTTGGTGATTCACTACAAATCACCCGGATGGAGGCCTGGTGAACCCCATCTCGTACTAGCCCCAAAAGGCAGCAGAATCTTCAGCTAGTTGAAGGCGGCTGTCTCAAAATGAAAGAAGAAGAAGGTGTGTGCGCGTGCGTGCGTGTGTGGACAAAGAGAATTATTTAAAGATATGTACGAGTAACGTTACTTATGATTCTGAAGCATATACATGTAACATCAAGAAAGGCTGCTGAGATGCAATAATGTAGGGTAAAGGTGAAATAAGCAGCAAAACACAATACTAGCTATGTTACAAATATTATTTGTTTAACATATTATAACGTTAATTACATAGAGTGTTCTGATCATAAAAAATTATATGACCTTTCATATTTCGATTCACAAAAAAGTATTCATAGTGAGGTGAGGGCGAGTGGGATAAAATCATTGACGTTTATTGCGATAATTCTTATATGAAATAATCATCGTGTTACTGTGGTGAATCCAGAGATATTCCTGGCGGTTATCCATGAATCGTGAATTTATGAAAGAAGATGATAATTTCCAGTAGCATGTATACCACTTCGGCCCGCCCCCTACCAAAACATACAAGATAAACAGCGAACCCTTCGTATTTATTTCCAAAACAAGACTTGTAACGACTCTACTACACTTACCTCTTTCTTCTTTACCCCAAGAGCAGGAGAATCGACAACGAGTAGGAAGAAAACCACTGAAAGACCGACAAATGTGGAAAATATCTTCCTGCAGTCGGCCATCTTGGTGCACTCGCCGGTACTTACCCCGTATACGTGTAAACTTCAGTGCTGATTGGTCATCTGATTTCCGTGGCCGCCTTTGGTTGGTTACAGTAAAATATTGTACTTCTGGATTGGTGCCACTGAAGACCGACGGTAAACGTAAGAGCCAATGAGCTAAGGAAATCTTGATTTCTAAGCCAATGACAGACGACATTACATTTGCTACGATTAGGATCACTGGGGATGTAAATGACAAACGTCTAGCGGTTCAGTGCCTTTTGTTTTTCAGACGATTTTCCCGATTTTACCTCAGTTTTTTAACCCAGGCGTAACGATCCTAATCTACGGACTCTATACAACAAGCCAGGTAAGATCTGTACCCCATATTTCGTGTTGTTGTGTTTTTTATGATGTGAGTTTGGAAACCGGCGCCCCAAAATGACTTCCATGTGGAGGGAATTCTCGGTATGTGAGGGCACTGTTTACCGCTTGAGAGTTCCGTTATCCTTTCCTGAATAAGTTGTATACGGGTGTGTGCTTTAGCTTTTCACCGAGCAAACGGCTTGTCCGACCCCTACTGTTGCTCTCCTTTCTCTGATCTAACCCTTGAAAAATTCGTGTGCAGTGGACACGCGACCCAGTTGTTTGACATCACAACAAAATCTGTTCAAACATTCTACTTTCTAAGACGCTTTGGTCACTTTCCTGGCTCGACATCAAGAGTATAGCTTGGACGGGAAATCTTTGAAGCAATAATTTCCTGAGTTACCATATGCTGTTTAGTTTTGACTTGATTATTTTGACTAACTGAATATGAGAAAGTCGCACCCTTGGGCCTGGTTCAAGATCACACCACATTCCTTTCTTATCGTTTGTAGTAGTATTTTTGGGTCCCAAATCATGATCAGACGTCCCTATAATTTTTAGACAGTCTCTAGGAATTATTTGATCCCTATCTACAACTCTTTTCACTTTCATATATGTACAGGATATACAAGGCGAGATCAGACGTAAACATATCCCTATAGGACTTAGTAACATGCTGATTTTAGGTCAGGGCATTTGCCATTTTGGATTATATTTCTGGATAAACGTTTCAGTAAGTTGACTTCCAAGGCTGCCATGTGTCAAATTATGCAAGAAACTTTCCACCTTTACTGCAAAGGCACTAGTAAATTATTAGGAAAAATTTGTTTGCACAAGGGAAAGATAATAACGTCATACATTATGTATGTACACATATCTACTGTCCAACATGTATTATATCATAAGAATGACTAAGATATAAACATATCTGTTATCTGGCATTTAGTATATTTATCACGTAAGATTTGTTTGCAAATGCAGATAATTTAACAAGATGGCCAGACAGATCCAACATGTATTGTTTAGAGTGTGATAGTTTTGTTTGCACAAAACCAGTATCAACATTTTTAAAGAAAACTTTTGATACGGATGAGCAATTTTCAAGATGGTAAAGACGTCCCAACAGCTTTCAAGTACAAGTACTTACAAGTACAAGTAGCAAGCTTCCAGAAGGAATGCCAGAAAGTCATGGGAATGCTTCTGTCTAGCTGAGTGTCTGGTTTTTATACCAACAGGCAGGCCCTGTTTGATTATGTCAATAACCAAAGCAACAGGGAGCCCCTACTTGTGTACTTTAAACCGTTGCAAATCCTAGCACCAGTAAGTTCTACCTCTCTTGGGATGGCAGTACTATGCCCCCACAAAAACTCGAGGTTTACCCAGTCCTTTACTACTCATATTTCTTGTGGGAGAAATGATAAATTCTGCCCTAGCTGTCACCCTTTCAAACATACCATAAGGCCACACCAATTTAATTTGTTGGTTCTCAGGTTTATGAAGCGACAGAGCAAAAAAAATAAAAACAGGTTTAGGCACCCTATGATAGTCCCATATGCTACAACAGGATCCATGAAGTCAACACAAAAGGCTGGGTTAATATTTAAACAATGAATTTTGAACTTTTAATGAAACCACTGCATTGATAGATGGAAAAACGCCATGAAAAAAGGACTTTCCTCAACTGTTAGAGGCAAAATATGAGCATACCCAGTATTTGAGTTGATTCAGAACCAGAATCTTTTCTTTTTTTTTTTTTTGCAAATCGGAAAAAAATGGTGACGCGAATCCGAGAACCAACAAATTAAATTGGTGTGGCCTTACCAAGATGTATTGAAATGATATCCAGGACAGGGTCCCTCCTCTGCATTCCCCTATGGATACCACATCAATCTTTTAACTGGCAAGACCCAGACTGAGACATATGGATGCATTATGTAAGAACCAAACATTTTCTTGTTGGAGATTATGATCATAGGTTAGTCAGTGTTTGGAGTACAAACTGTTCATGTAACTGTAGCATTGTGTGAAATATCATCGGTTAGAGTTAGACAGTAAATAAAAGTGAGCTAGGAAGTTTGACATGGGTCAGTTAGACTTCACCCCACACAGTCACATTATGTCCACTTTGTCCCTTTTAGTAGGTCCACTAGTACAAGAAGATGAGGCGGAAAAGCAAAGAAACAGAAGTCCTCTTGTGTAAATCTAGAACTCTGTTACAAGCATTTCTTTGAACCCTCCTTTTTCAGGGCCCTCGAAGTTCAAATACACAGCTGGAAATGTATCTCCTACTGTTTAATGGTACTAGTATAGAAGGCAGTTTCTAATTTACAAAATATCATTTATTAACACTATTATAACTCAGTTAGAAATGCTGTAGATTCTAAACATTATAATATGGGCAGAATCTATTTTGTTGATTTGGATTTATATGGTCTTGAAAGAGACTTGCACAAGAAAATTGTGCATATTGATATGATAATTTGTACATCATTTGTAGGAAGTGTTGGCAAATTTATTTTCCCAAGACACTTTGTAAATTTGGTTTTGCATCTTCTTTGTTATTTCAGGAGTAAACAAATTATGTGATGCAAATATATGTCCATGTTTTCTCAACAAGCTTTTGTTATGAAAAGCCAGGATATTGTAATTGGCAAGTAGGTATGTGTTAATTTCCATTTTGTATTGTATTGTTTAAATCTAATAACAATGAATGAAAATGCACCGTAATAGATGTGCAGGTCATGCTATTGATTAGATTAATTGGTAGGTAATAGGGCATGTTTAGTAGTTTACTTTGAAGCTTGAGATATTTGTTTATTTGTTCAGTGTAGCTAATTGATTAGCCACAATCCAACACATAGATTGGCATGGGACTCAAGCATTAGTTCCATATGGAAAGGTGTGGCAACCTTTCACACTACTGATGCCATATGTTGTGCCTGTTTTTAATATTACTAGTATGCACACCATGACACAAAATACATGTATCAACAAACATCATATAATTTTTTGTAGTAATCTAAAGATCTTTCATATTTTGCACACTGTGCAACATACGTTTCAAGCATTGAGTCAGAGAGAGCATACAAATTGCTAGCCTCTGTAGCAGGCTTATACTAAAGAACTGGGAGTTTGGTGGTCTTTGGCTGTTTTCTGATTAGCCCAGTTCTAAAAAAAACGGGGGTAATTCAACCAGGCCGGCTATGTTTTCTATATGCAATCAGAAAATAGCACATAAAAGCTCCCAAAGACCATGAAGACCCCCAAAACCCCCAGTTTTTGGCATGCTATGGAGGCTATACAGCATACACTGCTACTTTGACATTTTAGCAGTGACTCACTTGCACTGGAAATGGCACCAAGCCGTTGCAAGTTTGACACGCAGCTGGCTCAAATTTACCAGCATAGTTCCTCCTAGTTCCACAGGTTAACACATCATTGACCATACACATTCCTTAGCCAGTCTTACCATGCCACTTTGGATCACACTCAGGTAGTGCTGCATACTGGTTCACTGGACTTGGATCCGGACTTGTAAGAATGTTTAGGTTCAAGTCCAAAAAAACCTAAAAGTCAAGAACCGAGTCCGGACTTATTACCATAAAAAAGACCATTTCACATACCCCATTTCTTTCCAAACCACCTAAAACCTTCCGTAGATTGCAAAATCTTTGCTGCAGAATGAACTTATGAAGAAAACATTGCAATCGGGCATCGTCAAGTACCGGCCTCCATGTTATTTGGCCAAAGTTTTGCCCAAACAACATTGCGAGGTTGCCAACATGCAATTTTGTATATGCCATGGGTTTAGGTCCAGACTAACAAGTCCGGAACTGAACCTAACCTGAACCTCTGGACTTGAATCCGGACCTGATGTGGGTTTAGGACCTTTAGGTACACAGCACTACACTCAGGTCCCCCTTGGTACCAGGTAATTTTGTTAGCGGGAGACCAATTCATAGGGATAGCTGTGAACTGAAGCGTTGTCACCTTAGTGATATCTGCAATTGTATACTATTATCATCTTACTACTAATAATACAACCATTTCCTGAAGAATTTGTAAAGTCATTTCGTCCTGGTGTGAAAGATGCGAATGGGTTAGGCCTAGGAAAAAAAAAGTTTTGTTTCCAGTTTCAGTCCTAAGAAAATGGCATCTGTAGGTACTAGGGATTATCTTTTTTTTTTCTTTTTCTTTAGACTTTGGCAATCTCTAGTGATCCAACTCATACAATACAGTTTAACAAAAATTTGAAAGTAGTTATATAACTTGCATGAGAACACTTCAATGTCAATGTTGGAACCAGTTGACTTGTGCAACATTTCATCACTCAGGTGTCAGATCATGGAGCTAGAAAAGGTTGATCAGCTCGAAAATTTATGTCCCTTGCAGGGGTTCACACAAAAAAGACTAGGGTCGGCAGTTTTTTTAAAGGGTCGATCGGGAAACAGAGAACACAACATTTTTTTCCTAGGCCTTACTTGATACTTCTTCAACAGAACTGAATCGTCCTTGCCAAGGAGGTAGTGTGTGCCCAAAGCAAACTGTTTCAGAATTGACAAGAGGGTTGCTCCTCTTTTTTGGAGGCTTGTTTATCTGAAGTCAACAAGTCACTCATCAGTAATTGAGTGCTGATGATCCAGTCCAAATTTATGAGGGCCTGCATAGGGGGGTCCCGACAACGCTCTACGCTAAATTTTGAGAGCTGGCTACGTATTATGCTGAATTCAAGAAGCTAAATACTATAAATTCAGGGTAGCTACAACGCATTACGTAGAATTAAAATGCCAAATTATACTCTACGCAAAATGTGTCAATTACGCTCTACGTTGAATTAGAGCAGTCCGTCTACGCTCTACATAGCAGGGGTCTCCCCAGGAATTTTTAGGGGAGTGGTGCTGGAATTTTTTTGTAGGGCACGAAGCGCGGCTGTGAGGGGGGGAGAGGTCCGGGAGAGGGGGGGGGTCCCCCCCTCTCCGTAGGAGAAGCTGTTGCATTTTA